AAGGGAAGAAACTAAAGAAGACAGTCACCAATGACAGAAGTGCACCGATACTGGACAGTAAGTGAAAAAAGGTTATTTTCCCTGGAGATAAATGGCTTATGGCCTAACAATCAACCCTATCCTTTCCACCCCCCCCCCCAATTTTTTTCTTTTTTCTTTCTTTCTTTCTTTCTTTTTTTTTTTTTGTTAACAACAGCTGCAAAGCTAGCAGAATAAGGGACTGTATCACTCATTGTAGACCATGGCTCTGGCTTGGGTTCCCTCTAATGCTGCGGGGAGCCAGTATAATAATTCTTTGTCCAAGACACACACAGCAGCGATTCTCTGAATTATTCACAACACTTTACAACACATTCTGGAAATTAACCCTTTGCTTATCTTACCACAGATCAAAAGGCAGCATGAAATATGGAAAAAGCCCTAGTCTTGGAATCAGAGAATGTGGGTTCGAGCCCTGACCATCTCCAACCCTTTGTCTTCATTTCTAAAATAGGGAAAAACCTGTTCTATTGCCCTCACAAGTTTGTTGTGTGCATCAAATGAGACAATGCTCCTATGTGTCTGGAATGTGTAATTCAAGTGTTAGATATGATTATTGGGAGCTGGGAGAAAGAGGAAATGCGATCACAATTTTGCTTATCTGCCCATCTTAAATCTGAGGTACTTTCTGGAACAAGTCATGGTATGTATAAACAAACCAAGTACTCACATACAGGGCTACTTACTAATATTTCCAAAGAATGAAACATTATACATGACTAGAATCTACTGGAAGTTAATAATCAGGTCTCAAGACTATCTCCTCCCACTCGTAGACATTTCCACTGCCAGTCAGATGTCCCCAGAATTCATCCTAGACCACAGATCCCATTTGGACTCAATGGGAAATAGACTGACTGTCCTAAATCACCAGAGGGAGCTTTGTAGACAAATAAATAACGATGCAGGATTATAGCCAAGTGGAGGGTTAGAAGTGCTTAGGAATTTCTAGGAAAAGTGCCTAATGAGTAGAAGAGGAAGATCAGAGTTAGGTGAGAACGTTGGTGTGGGAGGAAGATGGAGAAAGAGGAAAACCAAGACAAAGGCCTTTGAGTGTTGCTCTGTTACCAGGCAGGGTGGTGCAGACGAGAATGCACACACCTCAGTGGAACTATGGGGTCTTTGATTCTTGCCAAAGTCTTACCTCTGGGTCAGAATGCCCACAAAACTGATGTGGTTTTTGTATAATGAATCCCTTAGTCCTTCTGATCTGTGTCACAAGATTCTCCCTAGGGGAGCCCAGCAATTTCACTTGTATCTGGGGAGCCTTGGTTTAACAACCATTGAGGTGTGGTACCTGGTATGGGGCCAGAGGAGCTCCACAAACTGCCTGCCTCTAGGACAGAGCCCAGCAGTTCTCTTCACTATGACAGGGAGCCTAGGCTCTGGAGAGGTGGATGTGACTTCCCTAGATGTTGAAGGAGAAAGGACAGTCTGGGGCCTAGTCCTGAGTCCACTAGTGGAAATTCATTATATTCTTCAAGATACACTTCTCTCATTAAATGGAGATAAGTGTTAGTTCTTCCTTCCAGCTGTTCAGTGATGTTTAAGAATGTACTTTGGTTGGTGGATGCAAGATACAATCCAATGCATGCCCTTATTGTCCGTGCACTTCATTGGACACCAGTACTGTTATCACAGGCTCTTTTCGAGTGGCAAAGTCCATCCATGGTTTTGTATTCGCAGGTGAAATCTCCCTGGACTCTGTCAAAATGTTGACCATGGTTATGCATGATATAACTCTTGAGGTCAGCTTTGTCCTGCAATTTAATTGCTAACAAAGTGA